ATCTAATCCGTTCATGTATATACAGAATGACTAAGGTCCCCAACGGCTAGACCTTGCCAATATTTGGAACTTATCTACCACTGTAGTAGAGCCTATGAAACATTTTCTCATAATTCAAAATTGCTAACTAGGTAAACTTAATAACAGAATTATTACTGACTCACTGAAACATAACATCTTTTACTTACAGTGATCAGTTAAATCCATTCATATACTGCTTATAAGATCTTCATTGATTCAAACAAGTCCTTAATGGGTCAAATTACCTGTTGGATGGCCTATGGATAACTCTTATCTTCATTCATGTCCGTCATTTTATGAATGTACGATCAACTTAAACAGTATTAAATGATTTAATGCGCTATCTATTATCTTTCATATAAGACTGCAGGCTCCTCGAGGGTAGGATTTTTTCCTTATTCACAATCGCAAGAACCATACTGAGTACTCTATCAGATGCCATACACTGGTTATCTCCATTCCTGGAAACAGTTCTATGAGTCAGACCTTATAAATTCACAGACAAGGAAACAGATCCCAAAAAATTAACATGTGCTCAAAGCCAGTGGGACAGTCTCAATGATTTTTCAGTCTCCTCCTCACTGCGGACAGTGACTTAATGCAGTTTTTCAATCTCGGCACTCCTGACGTTTGGGCAGGAGAACTCTTTCTTACGGAGGCTGTCCTGGGCGTTGCGGGATGTTTAGCAGCATCACTGGTGCCTGCGCACTAGATGCCACCAGTAACCCCTCCAAGTTCTGCCAACCAAAAATATCTCCAGATATTGCTAAATGTCCCCGAGGGGCAAAAACATCCCCCGCTGACAACTGGTGGGTTAACAGAATGTCAGTGAGTGGGGCAAGAGCAGAGGCCGTAGCATGCTCAGGCAATCTGGCTTGTCCGGCACTCCAGTGACCTGCCACGAGCGAGCACGCTCTAAGTAGCTGCTGCCCCTTTCAGCTGGGCCCAGCAGGAACTCAATCTAAACCCAGCTGCTGCTGGCCTAGATCCACCTCGGCCAATCAGCCCAACATACAGTACAGAGTCAAGAGCACAGAAATCAGCGCGTCATGTGAGACACTGAGTTTTACGGCAGCCTGTTATGGAGCGTCACTGTGGCACCAGTTGACAAATACCACCAGAAAGGGGGTAAGCCAGGATTCAAAACCTAGGCCTGCCTGGCTCACAAACCCATTATCTCCACTAGGTTGACTTTTATCAACTGAATTGGCATCCCCACTCCCAGGATGTACTTGGTGCACAGAAGAGATGCAACGGAAGTCTGCTTTATTAATAGAAATATTAATAAATATGAATTCTGTAAAAGTTTTTCTGTACATTTTCAGTAGGCCACCGATACTGCCTGCTCATGCCCACAGCAAGGCGCTGATTCACAAACAGGGTGAAGGACATGATTCAGCATCGCCTCATTACTGAGACACTAGATCTAAGACTTTCTTCTGTTTTCATCCCAGAGCTGTACACAGCCAAACCCAAAACAATCGCTCCAAATTCACACTTCTATAAATAAGTTGCTATGTGCAAATGCAAAACACAAGTTTTACAAAAAAAAATTTTAACAGTATTTGAAAGAATGAGGCTTTCATATAGATATGAACAACAAATATCGTACATCTAATATTTACCAGATACTTTTCCGGGCAGCGGGAATATGAAAACAGACAAAATCCCCACCTTTGTGGAGCTTACATTCTAATAACATTTACGCAGTATAAAGGCATTTTCCAAGTGCTTTACATGTATTAACTCATTTATAACTCGCTCATAACTCCTCATACCCTGCGGAAGAGTAACCGTACTACTACCTCCACTACGGAGATGAGTACACTGAAGACCAGAAATAACAAGTAATGTGCCCAAAGTTACAAAACAAATAGCAGAGCCAGACAGGGGTCTGGACTGAGTCCGTACCTTTGACCCCTATGCTTCACTGCCCCTTTGAAACTTTAATAGTAATAAAAGCATCTTTTAGTCAAATGGGATAAATTCACTCACAAAGTCAAGCTTACATACAAGCGGGGGTGGCGGATGGGAAAGACATTTTTGGTTGCCAAGCATCTACAGCTCATACACCCACCTGTGTATCTACAAGGCCACACCTGGATGCCTGACTCCAAACTCAACACCTCTGCATCAGAACCGCTGAACCCCACCCCCCTCAGTCTTTAGGATTCAGTCTTGTAGTGTTCTGTTACTTCATCTGAGCAAAACCTTTGAGCTATTTGACTTTCCCTCACGTGCAGGATCCGGGCATTTCTAAGTCCTCTCGGTCAAGTTCCTCCTCTGCTCCACAGCTGGTCTCCTTGCTGCCACCACGCCCAACAGCCTTCCTTCACCCGCCCAGCAGCCAGAATGAAGCTACCAAACCCCACTGAGCACATGTCGCCCTCTGGCTCAAAACATCCGAATGGCTTCCCATTCCACTCAGAAGAGTACGTGAAACCTGTAGTGGGGCCCACAGTCCCTATAGGATATGGCCCCTCTGCTCACTCCCTCACCTCGTATCCTACTGTCCCCTTCCCAAGCACGCTCATGCCAGGGTCCCTGTTCTTGCGGTTCACTCTGCCTGGAATGTTCTTCCCCGCAGTGATTTCCATGCCCTCCTCCCCAACACTCGGCTCCCTTCTCTGCGTTCCCTTCGTCTTGTAAAAGATTTCCTGACTATAAACACACAGTCACTGTTTATCTGCTCACCCCACTTGTTTTAATAGCACTGACTGTACCTAAAGTTAATATTTGTTTGTCTGTTTCTGCAACTGCAATGCCCGCTCCACAAAAGCAGAGATGTTGTTTAGTTCACACCCTACCCAGCTTATTCTGACGATGCAAAATGAGGCCGTGCTTCCCACACCTGAGTGCATAGGCATCGTCCACACAGACTGTACGCCACACTCTCCAATTCAACCAGTCCGCGCTGCGGCCTACACGCTCATGAGTCTCCAGCAGGTGTGGGTGCTACAGTGCCGGGACCCCATTTTAAGAACCACTGATCCAGACAATACACCTTTTTCTAAAGAAGAACCAGGTTATATTCTCTAACACGGTCTCATCTTAAATATTCTACGTTAATGACTAATGCTAAAATTTTATCCTTTATAGTTTACACAAGTAAACTATGGGGACCGCTGCTTTAGGAGATACAGAAACACCAAACAATACTAGACTCCTGTTAGAACAGCTGCCCAAATCACAATGTCTGATCTCCAGGCCTCCTCCCAATACCCAGGGTAGGCCCAGCGCAGTCGAATCTCGGTTATGTTAGTATCCTGTCCCTTGGTCATGGCAGATTGAGCCAAAACAGGCTCTCCCTAAACTCTGAAGTTCAAAGATAAAGTCTGGGAGGCACTGATGCCAAACTACATTCAGGGCAAGGCTCTCACCAGAGAAGGCCCACACTCCTGCTGGGCGCGCAGGGGCCCTGATTCCATCTTTCATCCTCCCTGCTGTACCCAATTATCCTCCAACAAATTCCCTACATTATCGAGAACTATTTGTAATACCAGTAAATGTTATTAGATTTATAGAAAATTGTATTGGAAATACAACTTGTGAAACAGCAAAGCTTTTTACCATTAATCCAAATTAAGACATTTATTTCCCCTTTCCAGATTACTATACTGTCCCTACAACCACTGAATCTTAGAATACACATAGCATTTCGACCCTATAATACCAACTATTTTTTGTATTTGCTTTCAGAAAAGTCCTCTGAAACCTAGAGAAAAGCTGCCAATTTGCCATTATTTATTCAATAGGTAGTGCAGCGGTCCCCAGCCTTTGTGGCACCAGGGACCGGTGCTCTGAGACTCTAATGCCTGATGATCTGAGGCGGAGCTGAGGCGGTGATGCTGGCGCTGGGGAGCGGCTGCAAACACAGATGCAGCTTTGCTAGTTCACCTGCCGCTCACCTCCTGCTGTGCGGCCCAGTTTCTAACAGGCAATGGACCCATACCACTCCGTGGCCCAGGGAGTTGGGGACCCCTGGGCCACGGACTGGGAAGCAGCGGGTGCCTATTATGTCCAACGTCATGCACACCTGCACCACAGCAATGACTAACAAAAACAGGCTCTTATTTTAAGTACCTTACATTTTGCTAGGGAGAGAAAAATAAACAAGAAAAATGTCAGATAAAAATTTCTATGCTGAGAAATAAAGAGACTTAGGTGAAATAATGAGTAACCAGATTGCTTTTAGATAAAATGGTCAGGAGAGGCTTCTCTGACGTGACATTCAATGTCGCTTCAATGACAAGAAGCCAGCGAGTAGAGATCAGTGCACAGCTAACACAGGTCCTTAGGCGGGGAACAGGCCCGACCTGTTCTAAAAGCCAGTACGACTGCACAGAGCACTGAGGAAGAGGAAATCATCTACGGTGAGGTCTGAGACAGAAAGGACCACACCACACCGTACACCACGTCGGGCTCTGTAACAAAAGGCAGAGTTTGGAGCTATTTATAAATTTATTGGTTATGGGACAAGGAGACTCTTCACAACAAAATGCTTACACAGAATAGTCGAGCAAGGGACTAAGATGAACAAAAAATAAATTACAAACAGTGGTTATACAATTTTTAGAGCTGAAAGGAACCTTAGCTGTCACAGAGTCCAAACTCTCATTTCACTGGGAAGATGGTGCAGCCAGGCTGTGGCTTCTTTGAGGTCGAGCCAAAGAGGAGCTCGGAACTGTACTTGGTACGCTAACATTAACGGCCAAGGCTCTTTACGTAATTCCTGCCGATCCGAAATCTAAAACTAAGTCTTTAGCCATGTGCATTTCCAAAGGTGACACAGCAGCAGTCAAACGAAAATATATTTAGAAATATTTTAAGTTATCCATGCCAGATTATTCACCTTTAGACCTCACATGAGGTTTTTTTTTTAAAAGCGGCTGATAACACTCAAGTCTTTCCCACCAGACATCTCTCTTCCCACAGTACGTAAAGCAGAGGAGACATGGGACGAAACGCGGCATACTTACGTCCGGGTACTCCTTCACAGGCACATAAAGCTTCTCTTGTAACTGAACAACAGGCCCCACCGCGTCGGGCAGCTCTGCACTCCGCTTCTCGGTGCTGCCATTTAATGTGTCATTGTACATGTCTTTCCGTACTCTGCTAATTTCTGTTAAAAATAAAAAATTTCAATGTGTTAGACGAAAATATTCTTGCTAATCCAGGGGAAAAGAAAGAGGGTAGGGTGGATGCCACTGATAAAATGTGAAAACTCAAAGAAGAAACGAACTGTTGGGCTATTCTATCATTCTCTGGATTAAGTCAACATTGAACAAAAGTATAGCCTCACTTTGATTCCTACCAGAAATCAAATTTATACACCAAACAATACAATTTATTAAAACTAACTCAGCGCCCAAGCTCTTATCCACTATGATACAGACCTGTCATTTTATCTAATTTCTCCATTTGTAAGCGAGGCCAGTCATTCCAAATGATAACGTCGACTGACGACTGTAAGAATGCGCCTGACAAAACTAACGCCAATGCTCTCTTCTACTTCCCAACTGACAGATTACAACGGACTCACAGATCGCAGACTGAGCAGAATTCTGAATCTGAGACCCGGATTTGGCGGATAAAGCTTGAGGCACAGAAGAGATGGAGATGTCTTAGAGAGGGCACAGAAGTGACATTTAAGGGGTGAAAAAAGATCCAAACCAAGAAGAAATGGGAGGAGACAGAAGTAGGGAAGAGGTGTCAAAGCAGCTAAGAAAGGACAGATTCAAGGAGGGATGATCAACAGTGTCAAACACCACAAAGGGACAGTAAGGTAAACAGCAAAAGAGGGTACCCTGGATTCGGCCACTAAGCCACTGACAATCAGAGAAGTTTTAAAGAAAAGATGGTGACAGAGGTTAAACTACATTATGTTAATGGATGAAATATAAGCAAGCAAGCAGAGATATCTAGCCAATGACCTTTTTAAAAAACTACTATGTTATCCCGGGCATAAATATACTTCTTTTTAAAAAAAGTATAAGAAATCTATTTTAATGAATCAAGTGCTGCATAAAGAAACTGATTAATTCTTTAAGTTTCCACACTGTGCTAGAGGACAGGCTCCTGCCCATTGGAACATGCTAATAACGGTTGTCATTAAATTAGCTGGATGCCTCTGTAACCATCTCTCCATGCCATAGATTACGTCCTCTTCGGGGAAAAGGTTTGTGCCCATTAGTATTTAAAAATAAAATGCTTTTTATTTTTAAAATGTATTTTGTATGCTTTGCAAACATAGAATTTTAATCTATTGCTATAGATTAAATGCATACTTTATAAACACACACTTTAATTTACTTAACTAGTTATTTAGATCGCTTTCAGATAAATAAAATTCAGCACAGCAAAAAGGCACTATCAAAGGTGTTCTTACCCAGTTACAAAGTCTTCACCAGTGGAAACACTGACTCTGATACATTTTCTGCTTCGATGATGGCAACATTCATTTTATAACATTTTCTCTTAAATAACAATCTGCTTGTCAAAGCTAACCAAATGTTTATTTTTGAATTGCAAATAAAATTTTTAAGAAATCAAAGAAAGGTACCTTGAGTTTAATTACATAAAGACAAGACCTCATTCTTGAAGTTCTTTTTTATACTTCTAGTTTCATAATGAAATCTTTTCTAAAGATGTCCAGTATCAAATTAGCATTATCTTAAATTAGCACATGACAACAATTCTCAATAACCGAGTAATAATTTAAACATACATGATTGTTTACATAATTTACATAATTACAGCAAGTAATTAACCAAAGGGAATTAGAAAATTTTAATTATATTAAATACATATAATATCCTTTAGTTCCAGCCTCTATATAAAAGCACTTTCAAAATTAATTTATGATATTTAAATCTCTTTGGAAACTGCCCAATTCTTGTTATGAAGTTAATAAACAGATATAGAAACCTGACAACAGCATAAATCTATAGATAAAATCTGTTCGTAAATATAGATGCAAACATCCTAAATGAAGAGGCGCCACCAGCATATTAAAATAATGCACCAATACAAAGTGGAATTTATACTATGAAAGAATAGTTTGATATTTAAAAATCTATAAATAACCATAGTAATACGATAGTTTGAAAGGGAAAAATGATTTTCCAAGTAAATAATTTTATCAAACTTAGAAAAACCAAGAAAATTAATTATAAATAAAAATATCCAGATGACTAGATTAAAAAAACGGATACACAAAACCAATAACCTTTATATATTCAATTTGATGATATAATGGAACACACATTTAGAACTTAAGTTGTGTTTCTATAAACATGTGTGAGTCTGATTAATAACTAAAAGTTCCATGAGACTCTGTTACCCTCTGTCTCCCCAGCTCCTAGAATTATGCCTTGAACACAGCGGGTCAGTTAATACTTGGTAGATCAGGTAGATGAGTGGGTGAATGAAGGGAGGAATGAGCTAGATTCTAGGGCATTCGAGTTTAACAAGTCAGGATTCCAGCTCTCAACCAGGCACATGCACAAGATGCCGTCTATGGTGTAAGATCAGTAAGGGCACAGAGACAGCGGCAGCAAACGCAGGCGTCACTAACCCTCCTGCCAACGTTAGGGTCAAGAAGGAAGTCAAGAGGAAAGAAACTGACATTCGTTTTCTAATGATGGAGAGTATATAAAGCAGAAGCACAAATAATATTATAAATTCTACTTTTCTTAAGATTAAAAAATCTTTCTACTGTTTCTTTCAGTCTAAGATCTATCATTCAATTTAATAACAGGACACAAATTATATACAAGACAGTAGTATGTCTGAGAATGAAAAGATGGCTAAGAAAGTTCTAGTTCTCAAGGAATTTACAATCTAATTCATTGTGGAGCCTAACCAGCTGAGTATACCCTTTACCAACAGCAACTCTCTAGCCAGGAAATCATTAGCACTTCTTGGCATGTTATTTACAACACTCAAGTTGGAACAAGTTCTAACTCCAGTTCTAACAGTAAGCGCTTGTATGATTTTAGACAAGTTTCTTACTTAACCTTTCTGTGTCTGTACCTCATATAATTACAGGCTGCTTACTGAGTGACTCAACTAAATCCGCCGGTTTCCAACCCCAGTATGCAAGGACTCCATTCATTATGTCCCCCCATGTTTCAAAAAGTTCTGCCTCTAAACCTTTTCATTTTATAAGTCCTGGTGGTGATCAGAGTTTTTGTTAATGTTGATATCAAGCTGCTATAATCACAGCCAAAATATTACAGAAGCATGTCATGGGTATGGGTGGTGTTCTAGTTCCTTTGCGGGTGTCCATTTATGAAACACAGGAATGCTTCATAACTAGTATGTTTCATATATTCTTTTGTTGTACTAAACATTACATGATAATGCGCAAATGTTCCCTTATCACCACACTACCTCCACCAACCTACAACAGTGGTTCGAGAACTAAAAGTTCACAACCTCTTGTGTGATCACCTCGTATAAAAATTCCCACTACAAATAACCCCCAAATACCCCAAGATCAAGACAGTTTGGTTTAGACACCTCTGAAGTTCTTAAATGTTAACGAATTTATTTTACTGAAACAAACTCTTTCCTAAAATTTCTCCCCCCCGGCCCCCCGCCAACACTCCAAAGCTCATAGCATAGGTCAAACGCTTCTTCCATGACAGCCCTACAGATACGTGAAAAGGTCTGCTGTATCTAAGTGTCCTCTTCTCTAACCTACCTATGTGATAGCATGGTTTACACCCTCCCACTCATCTAGACACACTCTATTTGTCTATGTCCCTTTTAAAATGGAAACCCCTGTCCCGCACACATCCTTCCCTGACAGTGGGTCAGTATGTGACTGAGGCTGCCTACCACCAGTCCCAAACACACCACTTGGCACAGTGTGTTTAATGCCTTCGCTTCCATGGTGAGCACACGGCACTGTTGACATCCACACATCCACACGGCTTGTTTAGACATCAGTAGACAATTTTTTTCATGATTGTTTTCTACTAGATATATCCCTTCTGATTTACGTTCATCTATCAGTTGACATTCTTTAGGGATGATTATTCTGTGAGTCAAGGATCCAACTAACTGCAATGTCGTAGAGCACACACTTCTCTAGCCTGGATGCTAAAATACTGGGACACCTCAACTAAGCGGTGAGGTCTCAGCCTGCACGGACCCTCCCCCTGGGTCTAGCGGTTCACAGAGGACATGTTTTGGAACCGATCGGTTGTGCCATCAAGTGTATAACATGAATTTTTCAGTTTGGGGGAGTATTCACCTCATCCATCATTCAGGATCCCTTTATCTTTCATGGTTTCTTAAACTGATATTCAGTTATCTCATTTTTTTTCAAATTTCAATATCCTGAAAACTATTTTTCTTTAGGCCTGAAAACTTGATTCGGTCATACTAAGTCTCCTAACATTTCTCTGCCTTAATTATCTTGATTTTTGTCCTTTTCCAAACTAAAACTCAGTTACGGGTCAGTAAACTCTGCTCCTAAGGAAGGTGGGAAAATAGTCACCAAACGGTTGTTTCATGTCACCTGTTAATACATCGCCTGCTTAAGCCTTCTCCCTTCCCCTCCATTCACCTAGCGACAACCAACCGCTTTGTTTTAAAACCATTCTCGCAAATAAAAAGCCTCCACTCACTTCTGCCTTGGGCTTCCCCATCACCACCACGCCTTTATTATGTCTGAACCTTCGGACGTGCGCCCCGCCCTTTGCTAACCTTAAAATTTTCCACATTCTTTTAAAATGTGAACTATTAGATTAACAGATCAATCACTCTATGGAAAAGTAAAATGTCAGAATTAAGAACAACATGAAGAAATATTAAAGAATAGAAAAATGTAGAGTGAATTATGAAATTAAGTAGTCATTTCCCAAGATAGATAATAACTATGCACTAATTCAATATTATAATGTTGGTAGATAAAAGAATAAAATACAGCCCTATTTTACTTTCTGGTTTACAATTTATTTCAATGCATTTAAACCAAGGAAGTCAAAATCAGGAAATAAAATACTAAAAATATTTACTAGCTGAGTAGTAAACAAAAAAACTATTAACATACAAATTTTTTAAATGCATGAAAGTATTATTTTCAAGATTTGTAACAATCCAAATTAAAACTGTTTAAAACACTGAAAAAAATCTCATACAAAACATGTCCTGTACTCAGTGTTATGGTAGCTAATTCCAATTGCTCAACCAGCCACTCTGATGTCACAGACATTATATTTCATTTGGGCATCTGCTTTTTCTTTGTGCATTACACTTAAATCCAACAAAAAATTTACCTTATCATTGTAATACAGCTGGAGCTAAAACACAGAAAGAAATGAGGTTACAGTATCATTTGAACACTACTGCCTTTCTAAAATTTCACATTTTCCATTAATTTATGCAGTAAAATAAGAGCCAACTAGTTCTAAAATATATACACTTCGATGTACATAGTACGAATTTTATAAGCAAAGTCTGAGTGACAGCTTTCCTCATTTCAACCGAAGTTTAAATGGGCTCTATTATTGCCTCACTATCTGTAATTCGTTTATGGCTGGGCACTTAACTGGCACACTACCACAAACAGCAAAGTAAGATTTTTGTTATTTTAGGTCTTACTTAACAAATTATTAGTTTCTATTTACATGATACTCATTAAATCTTAAAACAATAATATCAGCAGTGTATTTATAACGTTAAGAACAACTACCACTACATAACCAGGTAACTGTTTTGTACCTTTAGTCAACAAAGATCTCTTCTGTTAAAAGAAACCTCTAATTCAGGGTTTACTAAATACAGGGAAAGTTTTAAGGATATTTTGAGCAGAGTAAAACCCAAGGAATAATATAACTTCACTGTGCTCATTTTAAAAAGTCCCATTCACAAGGTACAGAAAGCGAATGCATTAAAAAGCAGATTACTAGAGAATATGCTCTACTAAGCAGAATGTGTTTTGCTTACTTTAACAATCAAATAAATCTGACTTAATTTTGAGGTAATTGCTTTGAAAGTGGCAAGAAAAAAATAAACAAGCTACCAATTCTCTAGATAGGGCCTTATTTTTTGGGTTAAACTGTATTTGTACTTCAGAACTATAAGCACAAAAAGAAAAATTACAAAATTAGATTCGACATCACAGCTCTCCTTTAAAGGGCCAAAATTAACAATTGTGCAAAATTGCTGATACATTTCACATACAAAATATGAACAGCAAGCAAAAGTCTTATGAAATGTTCATCCTACTTCTATGATTGTTCAGAGCGGCTGTTTTGTATCATGCAAGGTATTTATCAGTAGCTGCACCTTCCTGAAAAGCCTGTTGGAAAAGTTATAGAAAACAATGTCTATTACATCAGGGTCTCCAACCCCTGGGCCACAGACCAGTATTAGTCCATGGCCTGTTGGGAACCGGGCTGCACAGCAGGCGATCAAAGCAAAGCTTCATCTGTGTTCGCAGCCGCCCCCAGCGCCAGTATCACCGCCTCAGCTCCATCTCAGGTCATCAGGCGTTAGATGCTCATAGGAGCACCGGTCCCTGGTGCCAAAAAGGTTGGGGACCACTACATTACATGACTCAATCTATAATAAGTATGTGTATTTTAAAATAGTATAGAAGGTCCTCAAAAAATTAAGACTAGAATTATCACATGACCCAGCAATCCCTCTTCTGGGTATCTACTCCCCAAATTTGAAAACATTTATCTGTAAAAATATATGCACCTCTATGTTCATAGCAGTATTATTCACAGTAACAAAGATATGGAAACTGAAGTGCCCTTCAATAGATAATAAAATAAAGATGTGATATAAATATATATACATACACACACACACACACACACAATGGAATATAACTCAGCCATAAAAAAAGAATGAAATCTTGTTGCTTCTAACGACATGAACAGACCTAGAGAGTATTATGTTAAGTGAAATAAGTCAGAGAAAAACAAATACCATATGATTTTAATTATATGTGGAATCTAAAAAAACAAATGAACAAACAAAACAGAAACAAACTCATACAGAGAAGGAATAGCTGGCTGCCAGATGGGAAAGGAGCGGGGAGGTCAAAGGGTGAAGGGACGAGAAGTACAAACTGCCAGTTATAAAGCAGACACAGGGATACAAGGTACAGCACAGGGAACAAAGTCGATGGGACTGCAGTAAGCGCGTATGCTGTCAGACGCGCACCAGGCTCACTGGGGTGACCACTCTGTGAGTTATATAAATGTCTAATCGCTATTTTGTATACCTGAAACTAATATAATATTGCACGTCAATTAAATTTAAAAATTTTAATTTTTTTTAAAAGATGTAACAACTATTAGCAGTAGTGATCTCTGGGAGGTGAATTTATGACTATTTCACTTGTATATTACTATATAATTTTTTTTTAATAGTTATCACTTTAAACATACTGACAATCTCATTAGGAGAGTAGAAAGCACGTTAGTCAAAATGCTGCATAATACTGGATTCTCTACACAAAATTATAATAGGGTTTAAATCATTGACTTCTAACTCTAAAAACAAACCACAAAGATCTATTTTATTTAACATATGAACAACTCCACCATGCTAAAAAAATTTATATGAATTTCTCCTGCTCATCAGAATCTGAAGTAGAATATAATACCCATTTTAAATAATAATAATAATGCTCAGAAGTTTAAAAAGTTAGTCCAAGGTCACAACGAGGCCAACCACATTTTTAGTTTTCATAAAGGACTTCCTAGGGTAAGAACTTTAAAATTCACTTTAAGAGATAGTAATTAGAGAATGAGAAATAAAATGGTACAAACCGACTTTTGGTTTTCATTAGCTGTGCTCTAACAAGTGCAAGTCCAGTATGTTCAGTTTTGCTGGTGACTATTAAAAAAAAAAAAAAAAAAAAACCCAACATCTGCCCCACCCCCGCTTTCATTCCAAGCTAAGAGAATGTAGTTCTGTGGATACAATCTAGGCCTGGGTTCCTAGAAAGTGACGACCCTGAGTGAGCACTCAGACACGGCTGGTGCACAAAGAAGGCAACACGGGTGACTAACAGAGCTGAGCCGAGTGGGGGGAAGGGTTTTTTTTTTTTTAAATAAAAACCAATTATTTAATTGGCGCAGGTATCCTTTCTCAATTAAATTGCATTTTGTCTGAATGTTAGTTACTTTTAACTGTTAGATGTCAAGACATTTAAGGCTGAATATTAAGTACTCTTTAATAAACATGTTGCCTTCTAGTCATTTTGTTTCTTAGGGTACTCAGGGGAAACCAGTCCTTATCTCTCTCTATATAATATGTGCCATGTGAAATTTTAAGTTTAAATCTGAAGGTTAAGAAACCTGGTTAAGAAACATTTGCCAAAAATATCTGAAGATGATGCAACAGTTACTCAGTAGGTATCATCAGAATCCAGGTTAGAAGTAAAACTTGAGACTCTAGCAATTTTTATTAATGACTGTTTTCCCAACCCTTTTATTACTTCTGGAATAAAAATAAACTCATAGCAGTGGAAATAGGTACCCAGACCATACGATATTTTTTTGCCACATACTCTAAGACGCCTTTGTTTTGAATCATCTCGATGTTACTGACTATTCAAAAATACTTCTTGTAAGTTCTTACTTATAACATGATAATGATAGTAATGGATTATAATCCATGAGACCACAATGACATAAATAAGTAAAATAAATACATGGGAGAGATGGGACAGATCTTCCTCATAAAATTCCAATTAATATAGAAGAAAAGATAAATATAGAAAATCACCAGCAGAAAACCGCCACAGTAATAATGGCTGCAGGCAAGAACCATTCAATGGATGCTAAAATTAGTAAACGAAAATAAGAAACAGGATATCTGTCCAGTTTCAGAGTAGCGCCCTACAAGACACCTGTCACCTACAGAGGAGGAGAGAGACTGCGCGGTGGTGACCGGGCGACCACGGCGAGCACCTTGAACAAGGCAGCGCCACTGCTGAGCACTGACACCAGCGGCCCGACCGTCCTTCCGTGGTTTTCTTCCCCAAAATGCATAACCCTCAATCTAATCATGAGAAATCATCAGATAAACCCAAACTGAAGAATACTCTACAAAATAATCCACCAGTAATCCTCGAAACTGTTAAGAAAAGTGTCATGAAAGAATGTGACACTGTCACAGACTGCAAGAAACTCGACAGAGAGAGCACCAGTAAAGCAATGTAGGATCCTGGACTGGATCCTGGAGCAGAAAATGGACATAAGCAAGAAGCTGGCGAAATCTGAGTAAGACGTGCAAATGACTTAGTAATACTGCGTCGACGCTAATTTCTTGGCTCCCATAACTGCAGTATGGTTATGTGAGCTACCATTAACCCCTATACCATTTTTTTCTATTTTTCTCTAAGCCTAAATTTATTTCAAAATTTAAAAAAAAAAACTGAAATAAAAGCTTTTGCTTTGGCCTTCTAGATTATTTAATTGGGGGTGGGGAAAGAAGGGGGGTAGGTAGTTGTGGGAGAGAATCAAAGCTATGCAAATGTATTATTTTTCTAATTTTTGAAAAATTAAAAAGAAAATGCCTGCTTACAAATTAAACGGAGGATCTCAACAACATTCAAAATAACCTCTAATTCAGA